GGGTGGGTTCCTGTGCGAGGAGTAAATTTTAGCCCCGATGATGATAATGATGATGAAACTGTGAGAGAAATTTTTTGGGAAACAATTAAAGTTCAATAAAGTTGAAGAAATTCAGCATCTTAAAGAGGAGGTGCAGCAGCTGTTAAAGGAAATTTGTATGTTTTTAAACAATTTGTTAAATTTGTTGGGCCAAAGAAGAGGGTGGCTTAATCACACCTCAGTACCTCAAATGAAGAGATGAAGGTTAATGGCAGAATGAACAACTCCTGAACCCTTTACCTCCTAAGAGTGCCAATCTCAGGTTTGACAAACTGACTCAATATCTTCACATCAATAAATGCGAGACTCACCGCGAGATCAAGTGAATCACAACAAAGTTTTCAAGGTTTGACCTTTTCTAGATGCTATTATGAAAGCCTTTCCTGAAGAATATTGGCTCCGCCGGGATGTTTCTGTTGTCGAAGCGATGATTGCTTTCAAAGAACAGCTTAGCGTGAGACTATGTTCCACTAAAGCCCATTAAAAGATGAATAAAGTGTGAGAATGCCTCAATTCTTTAAATGGTTACTCGTGTAATCTACAATTTTAGACAGGAAGACAAGATAGCAGCATCACAGAGCATGGACTTGGATACCGTGTTGTCCACGAACTTGGTCAGCCTTTCACGGAAAAACACCACCATATCTTCTGTGACAAATTTTTTAACATCAATAGAACTAGCTTGCGATTTGCTAAGGGACGAATCTTACATTTCTACTCTAATTGAAAGCAAAGCGATGGGACCGTTCTTCAAGTTCTCACTGTCCTTGCCACCATCACCCACAATAAAAACATCGGAGCTCGAGGTGTCAACATGAATGACAAACAATAAAATTATGATTCAGTGTGGTGAAAGTCTCGAAAGTGGTGGCGATACTTGTTTTAGTTTCTAGTTGATGTCAGCATCGTCAACTCACACATTCTACAAACTACAGCAAGGAATCATACGATACAAACTGTGGTAAATCACAACACAAATCCACAAAGTCTGATGAGTAGATATCACCATGAGAAACAACATATGCCTTGAGAGAAAAGGACATTTTGACAATGCCAAAGTAGGTTCACACTTAAGACCTGACATTACCTAGCAATCAAGCTTTCTGACGTGAAAGTGAACTGCTCTTTTCCCGTCGAAGGCTTTATTCACAGGTGACTTTTTTTTTAATTGTAAATAATTATATTTCTATTGTAAACAGTTTTACTTCTAATATAAATAGTTTCATTGCTATTGTCTGACAAACATTTCATCTCTTTCAGTTTATAGAGTTCTAAAGTGTGACGTCACGTTGCCATGGCGCTGAAAAAGTCAGTTCTAAACAACTCGGACAATCTCTTGCGCGTGGGTCACGTAGTGCTTGTCTCTGCTTTGTCTTATAATTAAAACGTTTATTAACCTTGTGTTATATTACAAAAGAGGTCAAGAAGAAGAACACAGGGTCAAAATGTCAAATACTATTTGAAAATTATCGCTTTTTGTCGGAAGAAATTTATCGGAACGAACACAACAGCACAATGGTGTACTGCTTTGCTCCGACATGCAGTCATTCATCAGAAAGCCACACTTGCAAGTTCTTTGCATTTCCAAGCGATAAAAAGGAAAAAGACGAATACAAGCGATGGATCCGTCTGATAAGGTTTGTAAACGGCACTTGTAATTAGCGCTTTGCTCAAAAGAACATCTTAACATTTGCCATTTTTTTGCGAGTGTGCGATTTCCACCGATGAACAAGCGCATGTAGTGTCAAGTTTGTGGGTACTGAGTAGGTTTTTGTGTATTTGCTTTTCATTACATTTTAAATTTTGAAAAACCTCGAATACAACTGTGCTGAAAGAATATGTGTTTGTCTGAACGCCACTGTGCTAACATGTGCTTACTTTCAAAACTTAAAATTTCTCGGTGCCCATACTGAGTCATATATTTCAATGTTGTTTGTGCTATGAAATGCATATGGCTTACTGATTTATTTAATATATTTTTAAGAGCTTCTGGACTTCAGGAGTTAGCTGAAAGTTTGAAACGAATTTTGAGCAATTTAAATCTTTACAAGTGTTTAGGATTAAGTTCTGTTATCTGTTTCTTTGAAATAGGAGGAAAGACAGAGAACCAAGCAAGCATTCTAGAGTGTGCAGTTGTCATTTTGTGGATGGAGATAAATTAAATGGGCCCACAATTTACGAAAGAAATCGAGATAAGATATTTCCTGGTGAAGGAGGACCACCAAAGAAAAAGAGAAAAGTAACAGCTAAACAGAAGACGGTGCAGGAAATGGTGGCTGAGGCAATCACAACATCTGAGCAGCAGTCCACTAATAATGACACTGATGATACCAAACAAGAAAGTTGCAACAAGACAACAAATGAGATAATACTGGAGGCAGAATTAAATCAAGCCAGGGAGGAACTTCAGGACCTGCAAGAAAAAGAAAGCTACACACAAAAACACTACTCAGCTTCTGGATTGAGTGTAGAGGTTCTTAGAATGGAAACAGGGCTTCCAACAAAAGAAGTTTTTAACATTGTAGTACTTCATGCCTTGAGATTCAAAGATTTTATTGTTTATTATTCTGGTTGGAAAGTAGAGTCCATTAATTTTGAGGACCAGATTTTCATTACTTTAATGAAACTAAGACAAAATTATACCAACTTGCACCTTGCCCAGCTTTTCAGTTGCAGTGTTGCAACAATAGCTAATATTGTCACCACTTTTGTCCATGTTTTGCATTCCATATTATTTCATGACATCATGACAACCATTCCGTCCAGGCAAAAAAATGTGTTATGTGCACCATCTTCTTTTTCAGAGTTTACTTCTTGTAGAATTGTCATTGATTGTACCGATGTGGAGATCGCAGCCCCGGGGTTAATGAGTTTGCAAAATGCCACTTATTCAAGCTACAGGGGTATGAACTCATTTAAAGTAATTGTCGGGGTTGCACCAAATGCAGTAATAACTTTTGTTAGCAAATTGTACCCTGGGTCCATTTCTGATAAAGCCATAGTACAACAGTCAGGTCTGTTGAACCATCTTGTTCCAGGGGATATGGTTTTGGCCGACAAAGGCTTTCTTATCCAAGACATCTTGCCCAATAATGTTTCTCTTAACATTCCACCTTTTTTGAATAATGGTGTTTTCACTGAAAGCGAAGCAAGGAAAACAAAATCCATTGCCAGAGCAAGGATCCATGTAGAGAGGGCAAATGCAAGGTTAAAGGATTTCAAAATTTTAACTTTCATCCCATATTATTTAAGATGTTATGCTGATGTTATTTTTCAGTTATGTGCTGCACTGGTAAATTTACAATTTCCACTTATCAAAGAGGGGTGTGAGGGGGCAGAGTTTGAGTGATCTGAGTACAAAAAGGATGTTTGGCTGTTATCAGTAAACAAATATAATGGTCATCATATGATAGAACTGAGTCAATCGAATAACTTTTTTCAATTATGTTAATATATAAACAAAGTCAGAATGCCATTATATTTTGTAAGACATTTAGTAGAAATAATAAAGATCAACACAACCTGCACTCTTTGTTACTCAAATTTACAATCTTATGTTTATCTCTTTAAAATTTGGCCCAATAGTCCAATACATTTACCAAATCTTTGCTGGTGACACTGACATTGCTCGAGAAAAGTTACAGCCAGAGACAGTACAACCAATACTCTCAGGTGAAAAGCCTTGCACGCATGTCTGTTTAAGGAAATAAAATTACAATGCACCTTCCACTATCTTGGGAAAAATGTGTTTAAAATAGAATTCTTTCAAGACTGGAATATTTGCATCCCAGGTTTCATCTTGCTCTATTTTGACAACAGCCACGTCCTTAGAAGTCCAAACAACAAAGTAGCAAAACTTTCGCTGTGTAAAAAAGATTTCACCCTGTACCTGGTCCCAATAGACATGGTCCTTCTTTAACACATATCCATTTCCATCCTGTGCTTTTTTTAAGCAAAATGTTGGTGAAGTAGCAATGGCTTCTTCAATTGTTAGGTTCCTTTCAGTGTAAGGACACTTAGCTTCTAGGACGGTTTCATCATCTACAATTCCATCCGGAGAGGCCCCAAGGATTCCAGAAGCATCCAACCAAATACCAGTTTCCTGGACGGTTTTCCCTGTCAACATAGTGAATGCTTTGAGTGCTTCCTGTTCATTGTTCACACCCCATTGTACAGCCTTAACTCCAGACAAATCGTATTCTCCAAGAAGGCCCTTCAAGAGAGACTGGGTCACCCGTTTGGCCTTCAAAACGCAACCAAAGTTACTTGCTGTTAATCTGCCCCTTCTAGCTAAATGCCAAGTTGGGTTGTTTCTCTGTCCAATGGTAATGTCACTTATTTTTAAGATGTACTCATCAGGAATCTTTGCCTGTCTTACTAGGCAATCAATTTGTTGCTGTGATCCTTGTAATTTAAGAAATTCTTCCGAGTAAATGATATCCTCTATTGTCGGTATGGGAAGGTTACTAACAGTAGCTGGTTCAGGGCTCATAAGCCAACAAAGGCCAGTAAATCTTCCATACTCCTGTAGGTCTCTGTAAAGGGAAGACCGATCAGATTGAGTAGGGTTTCTTGATAAGCAGCAATACTGTTTTGTGGGAGGAAACATTTCTTCGACGGATTGCCAAGAGAGCGGTGTATTTGCTTTGCGTTTCTTCCAATTGCATTCAACATCTGTCCGGCTGACGTTGTAGATGCCGTGAATGAAAAGTGTAGCCGCGTGGCTGCACTTAAACTTCCCCCTTGGACACTCGCACTCACTTGATCTTATAGCATTCTCGCTATCTAAGTAAACCTAGCAAATCGGAAAAAAAAAAGACGCGTGAGGACATGAAAAGCAACTGTCAAAGACTTCTAAATACATGAAGACTCCAAACGAACGAACAGTTCCATGCCTCGATTGAACTAACACATCGATATACATCGAACGACCTTAACAACAAAGTGGATCAACGCTAAAGTTTGCGCGTCTAGTTATTCCACGATTAAATTATCATGGAAAAGAACTGCTATTAACTTAAAAATCTCACTGAGAAGCATTTCAAAGCAACAAATAAGCTTAAATGACAAGCCGCATCTGCGCATGGTTCGTACGCTTTTGACTTTCTGAAATTCCATGACTTTCCATGACTTTTTCCATGACCTTTTCCGATTTTCCATGACCCAATTGTTCAAATTATTTTTCTCAATATATACTTAAAGTACCATCAATTCGTTTTTTCCTTGCATGTTAACCAAATTGTAGAAAAGAAGAAGATGCTAAGACCAGTTAAATTCATACGTATAACACGGAATCTTTATTTCCGTGCAACAAAATGACACAAGTGCAACAACACGACGTAAACAGATACTTTTTTACTAAACTTTACAGTCCAGAACTATATCTTTTAAATTTCCTAAGATAAACTTTACAGTCCAGAACTATATCTTTTAAAATTTCCTTATAAAACTGTACAGTCCAGAACTATATCTATTAAAATTTCCTAACAAAATCTGTACAATCCTGACTTAATTTCCTTACAAAACCTGTACAGTCCAGAACTATATCTTTTAAAATTTCGTAACAAAAAATGTATAATCCAGACTTAATTTCCCAACAAAACCTGTACAGTCCAGAACTATATCTATTAAAATTTCCTAACAAAATCTATACAATCCAGACTTAATTTCCTAACAAAATCTGTACAATCCAGAACTATATCTTTTAAAATTTCGTAACAAAAACTGTATAATCCAGACTTAATTTCCTAACAAAACCTGTACAGCCCAGAACTATAAAATCTTAATTTCCTTACAATACAGTCATTGTTTCAGTGTTCACAATTGCAGTATGAGGTTTCAGTTTTCATCTACAATATAGAAAAATATATGAGTGCATCCTTGTATGACATTAAATGTCTTTACGTTGGTTAGTAACTGACGTAGTGTGGTGATGGGTTTGTAGGCGACGCGGATATTGAAGGGTTGTAAGATGTACGAGATGTTCTCAGACATGCCTTTTTATGTACGGTATGGCTGCTGTAGTCGTAGCAGTTGCGGTGTCGTTCGTTTCAGTAGTAGTGGTAGGTTAGTGAGTATTTCGTCGGATGAAGCCGTCGTTGTAGTTGTTCTTTGAAAGAACATGGTAAAGGTATTTGTTCTTGTCGGATAAGTTCTCTGTCGTGTTGCACACTAGTTGCGCGTGTTGTGTTAGAGTTCTGATAGTTGTGGCTTTGTATGATGTAGGGTTGTAGGATGACGCATCTGGTAGTCTGTCGGCGTGTGTCCGTTTCCTGTAAACTGTCCTCTGTAGTGAGCTGTCGTCACGGCTTACAAGACAGTCTAGAAAAGAAAGTTTGCCACTCTCTTCGACTTCTCTGGTAAACTGTATGTCAGTGTTTTGTCCGTTAAGGTGGTAGTGGAATGCGTCCATTTCATCGTGTCGTGCGGCAGTGAATGTGTCGTCAACGTAGCGTAACCAAAGCGGTATCATTTGTGGGCAAGTCGAAAGGGCGCGTTCCTCGATGTTCTGCATAACAATTTCTGCTACAACAACAGAACTGAAGACCCCATGGTTGTGCCATGTAACTGTTTGCAGTGTTTAACGTTGTACTGAAAGTAAGTTGACGTTAGGCAAAGGTTCAGTAAGTCCATAATGTCGTCTGTCGGTAGCGGTAGTGGGTCGGTAGATTGTCGAATTGCAGTCTCATTACATCGTAGTGCCAATTGAAGTGGAATCCTTCTAAACAGTGATTTTACATCAAGTGACACTAGTTTGTCATAGTCAGGTATCTGTACAGTCTTGGTAGCGTTAATGAAGTTCCCAGTGGATTGTAGTTTACGTCTGGATTTGTCGGTCAGCGGTTGTAGTATTGTTGTCAGGTACTTGGATAGTTAAAGGGTAGGAGAACCACAGAAAGAAATAGGTCGCATCGGGAAACCAGGTTTGTGTAGTTTCGGCAAACCGTAGAGTTTCGGTGGCCGTGGTACTGAGCACCTCAGTCGATAGTACCGTTGGGTGTCAATGGCATTCGTCTTCTTGAGTGTCAGTAGTGTACTGTTGAGTTTGCGTTGAAGTGCTGGAGTCGGGTCACGTTTGAGTTCTTCGTAGGTTCGTTTGTAGTTGACTAGTGCGTCCATTTTGTCGTGATAGTCAGTTTTTACCATGACAATAGTAACTCGTCTTTTGTCAGTTGGTAGAATGACTATGTTCTCGTCGTTTCTCAGTTGTTTCAGTGCATGTTGTTCGTCTTTAGTTAAGTTGCTGTAATGTAGTGACGCTGAATGTGTAATGGAGGCAATCCTGCTTCTGATGTTATCCTTGGTCGGCTCAGATAGCTCTCATTGCCGAGACAGAGCCGCCTCAACACTAGATACAATAGCCTCGGTCGGTATACGTTTATGTGTTACTGAGTGTTTTAGTCCGTGTGACAACAAGCGAGTTTCAGTATTGTCTAAGGGACAGGAAGAGATGTTACTTACCCAGTTGTCGTCCGGCTTACTTCATTCCTGTTCTTTGTCACGTAGCAGTAGTGTCAGTTTCTGTTGGTGTCCAGTACGGGCGCCTTCAGTCGTCTTATTGGCTCGTTTGTCGGCAATTGTCGCAACAGTGTCAAGTAAGTCAGTTGGTATCAATTGTTTCAGTTTGCCGTGTAGTTATCGTAGTTTGTTTCCGTAGCGTTTGAGTGTTCAGTGAAAATCATTTATCTGCGCTTTGACCAGTCGTCTGCAAGTGGCTTTCACAATCTGGATGGCCTCCTGTGTGTTCAACGGGGACTTAAGTTTAAGCCTGGCCAGAATAGCCGGCCTTAAACTTAAGTCCCCATTGAACACACATTGAACAAGTTGTGTGTTCAATGGGGATTCAAGTTTAAGCCTAGCCAGAACGGCCGGCCTTGTTCCGGCCGGGCTTAAACTTAAGTCCCCATTGAACACACATTGAACAAGTTGTGTGTTCAATAGGGATTTAAGTTTAAGCCTAGCCAGAACGGCCGGCCTTGTTCCGGCCGGGCTTAAACTCAAGTCCCCATTGAACACACATTGAACACGTTGTGTGTTCAATGGGGACTAAGTTTAAGCCTGGCCAGAACGGCCAGCCTCGTTCCGGCCGGGCTTAAACTTAAGTCCCCATTGAACACACATTGAACAAGTTGTGTGTTCAATGGGGATTTAAGTTTAAGCCTAGCCAGAACGGCCGGCCTTGTTCCGGCCGGGCTTAAACTTAAGTCCCCATTGAACACACATTGAACAAGTTGTGTGTTCAATGGGGATTTAAGTTTAAGCCTAGCCAGAACGGCCGGCCTTGTTCCGGCCGGGCTTAAACTCAAGTCCCCATTGAACACACATTGAACACGTTGTGTGTTCAATGGGGACTAAGTTTAAGCCTGGCCAGAACGGCCAGCCTCGTTCCGGCCGGGCTTAAACTTAAGTCCCCATTGAACACACAGGAGGTCATCCAGATCGTCAAAACCACCTGCAAACGACTGGTCAAAGTTTGGACAATGATTGTCACAGAACACTCAAATGCAACAGAAACAAACAACGACAACTACACGACAAACGGAAACAACTGATACCAACTGACTTACTTGAAAGTTACGATAATTGCCGACAAACGAGCCAACAAGATGACTGAACACGCCCATACTGGACATCAACAGAAACTGACACGACTGCTACGCGAAAAAGAACAGAGATGAAGAAAACCAGACGACAACTGGGTAAGTAACATCTCCTCCCGTCCCTTAGACAAGACTGAAACGCGTACTGTCATAGGGACTAAAACACTCAGTAACACATAAACGTATACTGACCGAGGATATTGTATCTAGTGTTGAGGCGGCTCTGTCTCGGCAATGAGAGCTATCTGAGCCGACCGAGGATAACATCAGAAGCAGGATTGTCTCCACTACACGATCAGCATCACTACATGACACCAACTTCACTAAAGACGAACAACATACACTGAAACAACTGAGAAAAGACGAAAACGTAGTCATTCTACCAGCCAACAAAGGACAAGTTACTGTTGTCATGGACAAAACTGACTCTCACAACAAAATAAACGCACCAGTTAACGACAAGCAAACCAACGAAAAACTCAAACATGACCCGACTCCTGCACTTCAACGCAAACTCAACAGTAAACTACTGACATTCAAGAAGACGAATGCCATTGACACCCAACGGTACTATCGACTGAGGTGCTCAGTACCACGGCCACCGAAACTCTACGGTTTGCCGAAACTACACAAACCTGGTTTCCCGATGCGACCCATTGTTTCTTTCTGTGGTTCTCCTACCTATCAACCATCCAAGTACCTAACGACAATACTAAAACGGCTGACCGACAAATCCAGACGTAAACTACAATCCACTGGGGACTTCATTAACGCTACCAAGACTGTACAGATAACTGACGACTACAAACTAGTGTCATTTGATGTGAAATCACTGTTTACATATATTCCACTTTAACTGGCACTAAAAGGTACTGAGACTGCAATCTGACAATCTACCGATCCCCTACCACTACCGACAGACGACATTATGGACTTACTGAACCTTTGCCTAACGTCAACTTACTTTCAATACAACGGTAATCACTACAAACAGTAACATGGCAAAGCCATGGGGTCTCCAGTTTCTGCTGTTGTAGCAGAAATTGTGATGCAAAATATGAAGGAACGAGCCCTTTCGACTTGCCCACAAACAATACCGCTTTGGTTATGCTATGTTGATGACACATCCATCGCCGTATGACACGACGAAATCGACGCATGCCACCGCCACCTTGACGGACAAAACACTGACATACAGTTTACCAGAGAAGTCAAAGAGAGTGGTAAACTTCCTTTTCTAGACTGTCTGGTAAGCCGTGACGATAACTCACTAGAGACGACAGTTTACAGGAAACCCACACACACCGACAGATTACTAGACGAGTCATCCAACAACCCTACATCACACAAAGCCACAACTATCAGAACTCTAACACAACACACGCAACTAGTATGCAACACAACAGACAGGTTATCCGACGAGAACAATTACTTTTACTCTTTATTTAAAGAACGACTACAACAACGACTTCATCCGACGAAACACTCACCGACCTACTACTACTACCGAAACAAACGACACCGCAACTCCTACGACTACAGCAACTATACCATACGTAAAAAGCATGTCTGAGAATGTCTTGCGCATCTTACAACCCTTTAATATCTGCGTCGCCCACAAACCCATCACCACACCACGTCAGTTACCAACCAATGTTAAAGACAAGGACAAACTGAGGAACAGACAAACAGACAGGGAGCGATTTATGAGATCAACTGTTCTGACTGCCAAACCTCCCACATTAAGGGGGGGGGAGACTGGCAGAAACCTCGCAACAAGACTGACTGAACACAGACAGGCAGCGAGGAAAGGTGATGTCAACAATCACATTGCTGAACATCATCGACTTACGAACCCCAATATTGACTGGGTGGGCAAAGCCTTACCTGCAGCACTTACTACTTTGAACGACTGAATCTGGAGAGCTGGTTTACTACCTTAGAACAGACTCCACTAAACAGGTGTCAACTACTACCGGCTCCATACAAATGACTCATTCACGACATTACCATTACAAACGAACCGCACAGAACGACCCGACTTTACCCACGGATCGAAACGTCGTCGTCGACGGCAGTCCATCGCAGGCGATGATGACTGTTTATGTTAGGTGAGTTCGACTCTCTGATGAGCAACCAGACCCGCTGGT